CTAACAAAAAGTTTTAACAATGTCTAAGGCTGCAAAAGTGCTAATTAAAAGTAAAACTTTAACTGCTTTAAATGTATACACTTTTAAACGTCAAGAAATTGACTCAGGTCATTCATCGAAATTAGAACAGCAGCATCAAAATCGACGCATAAATGAATCATTAAGTAATGCATCAGCTTTCTATTCTAACCCTTACATTGGTTACTTAAGTCTTCTAGTTCTTTAAACAGGTAGAATGGCATGTATTCATATTAATTATTGTGCTATAAAATGGAGGGATGAGGCTCCAGAATAATGTTGCTTTGGTAGTAAAGTTTTCTGGTTGTAAAAAAAAATTTTGATTATTTTTTATCAGTTTTGAATCGTCACAACTTTAACGAACATCCCTTTTTATATATTATTACGTGAGAAGTTGTAAATTAACAGCCCTTTTCTTTAGGGTTGACAACTGTTTTAGAGTGTAGAAAATGCGCTGTACTTTTCAGCATATATATTTACTTTGTTACAGATTATTATTCGGCCGAAACTTAATGAATTGCAAAATAGATGCAAAGTTTCAAACTAAAAACGTATTACATTGTTCGCCAACACACTAAGGTGCTCCACTGAGTGAATTTCAGCCGAAGCCAAGATGAGGCGGGCGATAGTTACATTATATCATAGAGTTATACGTACTTGATAAAAATTTTGGCACGCAGTATATGGAAAGTTAACCTGTAAAACGAGTAAGCCACAGAGAAAAAGGAAATATAGATGCACACAGTCATGCCTGGCTTTCTTCTTTTTTTATTCTTTATTATTTATTTCTAAATTTTTATTGTAATAAGTTAATTTAACAGTGAGCATGATTCATCTTTAGATTCAAAAATTCGATACTCGTGCAAAAAAGCACGGATTTCCTTATCCACAAAAAAAACTTGCAGAAAATGTTTAACATTTCATTCATAGTTTACCGCCATGAAGATTTTTTAAAATCGGAAACGACACAAATAACTATTGTGATTAAATAGAAAGCATGACTGTCCACTTATTTAAAAAAATTTTGTGAATTCAAGTATCATTATTAATTCAATCCCTAACGGTTAAAGTATCTTTCAATGTTACATAACTATGTTTGTGATTAGCTTTTGAATTTTTAAATGATGTTGCATTTTTTAATTCTATATTAATTTTTAGGAGAATCGCATATAGTATTTGGAAAGCATTATATTTAGTATGCTTTATGTTGTATTACCTTAAACTCTTTTTTCTTTTTCCTAAATCCTAAGGGTTAATATCAAAAATATAGTTTTCGGAAACATTTTCATACTTCCATGATTTTGCAAAATCACCCATGCTCAAGAGTTTGAGATTCAGCTTCTTCTCATGTAGCTCACATCTTTGAGAAACTAAACTTCAGAATTTCCATTTCTTATTAGTATAGAAATAATGTGCTCACCTCATGAGCGGTGTAAGAAAATAGGTATCAACCAAATAACCAAAAAAAAAAAAAGAACCGCAAGAGAAACAATAAAAACTGTGGCGAGGCTCTGAAAATATTCCTAAAATGGTGTGAAGGGCTGTGAGGGTCTCTTTAAATAATGTGGGACGTTGAGGGTATCTCTACTAAAATAGTATTTGGTTAATAGTACATTACGATACTAGTGAGCGAGGAAGGCGATTGATGCACGCGTGTCAGTTCGCACTCGAGCACTAGCAAGTGTGCGAAGACACGCGTGTATCAATCACCTAACCTCTCGCAAGTGTGGTGCATACAACTTTTCGAGACATCGTCCGTGGGAAACGAGATTATGAGTCATCTAATGTGGCTCTGCAAAAGTCTCGACGTACACACGCACTCGCACGAGTGCGTAGTACGAGTTGTGAGTCACGTGGGAAAATTGAGGTCTTTAGAGACACAACAGATGGCTCATAGTTGAGGTCCCCGCGCACGGCTATTTTCAATCTCTCTTTTTATTATGCACACACATACACACACACACACACACACGCACTGTGCAGCTGCTCATATATTATGTCTTTTGCTTATACTGCTAAGTGCTGCTATACTGCCGCGGCGGCGTGCGGAAAATTATATCTGGAGTCTAGTAAAGGCTTTACTACAGCATGTTACGATTTATGATCATATTATGTTGCAGCAGCAGTAGTATCGAATTTTTGAATCTAAAGATGAATCATGCTCACTGTTAAATTTACTTATTACAATAAAAATTTACTTACCAAATTTACTAACCAAAACCATGTTACTAAATAAGTTGCATTGTGTAGACACATCAAATTCAATGCATGTTCAGTTGAATGTTGTGTGTAAGTAATTATAATTAAGCAAACTAATGAAATTCATTTAAAACAAAAAAGGCAGTACCAATGAAAGAGAAAGAGTAAGAGGGAAGTAGTCATAAAAAACTATAAGAAATTAGAAACTATCTTATTATCCAGTGACAGATACCTGAACTTAAAATAATCACTACTCACTTGACAATAGATAAAACTTATAAATTAATACTAAAAGAAAAACAGTATAGGTCGTATACATGTATTGATACATTGATTGATATGCTTAGTCATAAAAGCAATGTTGAATCTAATAATTATAACATGTAGGGAAAGCAGAATTAAATTAAAAATAGAGAGAGGACCACAGGCATAAACACTGGGAAATATGAATTTGGTGACTTTAGTTATAAATCAAAACAACACACAATTCAAAACCAGCTTTTTTTACATTTTCGTTTTTATATGATCCTTTTTAAGATGTATTTGTATAGGTATGTTGATTATATCTGTGTGCATAGTTTAATATACAATTTTTATTGTTAACTATAAGATTTTTATTTCAGAAAAAAATTGTTTGCTAGTGAAAAAATAGATTTGAACACAAGGTATATTTAAGTTAACCTAATTAAATGTTTAACTGATGATAAGATAAAATAAGAAGACAATTATTTTACAGTTTTCAGTTAAAGTTATGCTCTCTTTTTAAGTATTTTTGTATAGATCAAGAGCCACAAGAATTATGGGTCTAGATTTTATATATCATCCAAGAATTTATGTACATCTTTGAGGTACTTAATCTACTTTATGCATTTAACAAAAAAAATCTCGTTTTTATGATATTGTAACGTACGATATGCAAGGCATATCATACTAACTTTCCCTAGTAACAGCGAGGCTACTTTAGCAAAAAGGCATCGACAGGTGGGGAACAAGGTAATACAGCGCCTAGCGAGCCTCAAATCGACACAGTCGGGCATTTGTGCATTCGGGAATTGATTCGCGCTCTCGGCCGTCGGCAGTCGATAGCTATCAAGAGGGTCAGTCGTTATTAAGGGACTCGAGCGTTGCCGAATCAAGACGCCGAGCAATAACTACAGAAGGACACAACGAGCCTAAAACGGAACCACACGCGCGACTTTGCCTTATAGATGGGGTATTTTTAATAAAAGTGTTTAAGAAAATATGTATACTGATTATTTTCGTGACGCACCTCCTTATGAATCTCTTTCCTACGTAACAGTTTAAAGTTATTTAATATTCAAGATTTTTCTAGTGCCCACTACAGTTAGCTATTGCAAAAGAGTTTTTTTCAGTTTCAAGAAAATTAATAATCTGTTTGTATATAAGAAAATATTTTGTTGTTTATTTCCTTATTACTGATTTTGCTTTTTTTTTTTTTCTTATTTGACTTTTCTAACTTTTTTTATTTTTTAATCTATTTTTTAAAAGAAGAATTGAAAAAAAAAATAATTTTTAGCACTCAAACTAGCATTGCAATTTTTTACTTTCTGAGAGATCGAGTTTTATATTTGATTGGTGAGATTTGATAAATAAGAGCTACTTGAGTAAGCAGCTTGATGTTTTACTTCGTATTTCTAATAATTGCTGGGAAATGAATAAATGTGCTGTCGTAACAGGTTTTGCGATATTGTTATATTTTGTTGAGTGCTAAGCATAAGCATCTAAAAAAACTGTTTTTGTGTAATTCACTTACAGAAAACTGTCTAAAAATTCCAATTTGATTTTGAACTAATTTGTGTTGTAAACGTCCTGTAAATATTTTTTTAAATTTTATCTATTATAAATTCACCATTACCATATTTAACAAGAATGGTATATTCTTAAACTTAGAATCGTATAAAATACGAATTTTTTTGAAACGCTGACTAAGTAAAATTAGGATTAAAGGCCACTTTTTAAATGCTTTTGAAAGCAAAAATTGATGTTATTACAAAACAATCAAAAAGTTACGAAACCAATACTTCTAGTTTCTTTGTTATCCTTATTTTACGAGACTGCATCTCTCACTTTATTACTTACGCGTATTAAAACTAAACTGTTAAGTACTTGTAAAAATATACCTAAACAAACACTCCTTTCTCATCCCCTGTTAAATACAATTTTATAATTTAACTAGCATAATATTTCTTCACAATACGCAGAAAAGTCTAGGGAGATTCATTTATTTTTATTTAAATGACAAAAATATTTGCACAGAAATAAAATAGTAATTTTGATGAAAATGTTACTCACAGCAAAGACTTGACATGCGATTAACTTAAGTTTTTATAACTAATCCCATCATTAGCTCTAGAATTTCATAGTACATAAATATTTTGAACACTTACTCACGTACAATATAATATTGTCTGCTTACATAATTTACTTAAGATCAATCTAAACATAGTTTTACAAAAATATCTAAGTACTACTTTTATTCTTGCATCAATTATTTACATTAAAGAATATTTGTATTTGCTAAATTATGATAGAAATAAATGATAATAATGACAAAGACGATGATGATGTAGGCAGCTGTGACTATGGTAGTGATCGTAAAGGTAGTAATATCGGTCATAGTAATACTAATGGTGATAGTTATGATGATGACGCTAATGATAATGATGATAATTATAATAATGATGACGACGACAATAACAGCATAATTTTTTAATAGTTTCTATAAAATTTTCTCTTCTAACTTACACTATTTCTCGTTGCAGAGTTAGTATGGGAATTACCTACAGAAGGATATGTATCTTTAGAAGAGCAAACTGAACAAGCAAAAAATCAAGCTATTCAAGAACAGTTTTTTAAAGAAATTGATAAGGAAAAGTTTAAGTTAAAACCAAGTAGCATCGAAGAACAAAGAGCTAATGAGGCCCGAGAACAACTGAAGAAAGTGAGAAAACAATATCTTGAAAGAACAAAAAAAGAAACCGTCAGCAATAGTCGGACTGAAGAATTAATCAGAAAGGAATTTGTGTACAGACGAGATTATAGTATTCCTGAAAAACAACATCCATATGGATCTTGGGAAGTTGTCAATAATGTGTAAGAATTTTTTTATGACTTTTCACAAATATTATTACTAAAAATTATATAACCAATATTTTAACACAAAATAGTTGTATATCTAATTATGAACAATACTTAGGGTGGTAGTGATAAACGGATCTCGGCCAGCGTATGATTTTACTTTGAGATAGGAAAACTGATTAAAAGTTAAGTTTAAATTTCTGAACCTGATAAATTTTTGGACACTGAATTGAATCCTATAAAATTTAACTATCTGGTCCCTATAGGAATCTGTTACAAAAAAATTTTTTGTAGAATTATTAGCAATTAATTTTTATAGTGTATTCAAATAATATTCGACCTGTAAAGTAAATGTAGAAGTTTTTATACCTAATAGTGTATGTCAATAGGGCAAGCACCAGGCTTAACCGGATTGCATGTGCATTAGGTACAAAGACAGTTTTTTCTATTTAGGGGGCAGTAAACATTTAAAGATAGAATGAATACTCTAAGTAGATGAGATATTTAACCACTCACAAATCAGAGAATAGAAATCGTAAGAGATGATGTAAATAAGAAAGTGAATCAATGTCCTACAAAAAAGTTTCTCGAGTTTTGCTGTAGGCTTCATAATCAAAATATTAAAGCACTTCTTACATTTTTACTAATAAAATCTTCTTATGGGTCTGAAAAACTAAATCCCTTATTTCAATAAGACCACTATTTTCGGTGATTTTATATCTTGATGCTTCTTTTCAAATTTTTACTGTCATACATTTATATTATTTTGCTTTTACGTACCTTCCAAGTTTAACTAAAAAAATACACTCATGTTTTTTTTTTTTTTTTTCTTTTTTTTTTTCTACAAAATAAAAGTAAAATTATGTAAATTTTTTATGAAACATGCTTTTTTTCATTATTAATATCATTAATTTCAAATATTTAAAGCCATCCATGAGGTGAAAAAAAAAGTTTTACACTCATAAGTCTTACGTAGTATTAATTAGTAATTTAGTTTATAAGTTTCACCTTTTTTGATACATTATACGTCACTAGGGCACAAAGTACAAAGATGAGAGCCCAAAGAGCGCGATTGTTGTATGTTGGTGCCCAAGTCGCGTATAATGTTTTTCTTACCTACTAAGGCAGAAAATTACTTTGGCCCGGAGGATGCAAAAACCATTTTTGCCCGTGATCTCAAAGTGATTCCAAGGGCGAAAATTATGACCTGAGGGCGAAAAGCGGCAGTTGCACTTAGGCGCATAGTAAGAAATGACTATTTTTTGTCTAGTGACTGCAAAAAAAATTTAGTGCTTAAAACGCATCTTACACAGAGGAAATATAACTAATGTAGTACATTTAGAATAGTTGTAAGAAAAAATTATGCTGAAACTGTTATTTTTATGTTTTATGGAACTGAAAATTTTATTTAAAAAATGTGTTTCCATGTATTCGCCAATTGTAGCCTATCCATTTATTTCAGAAGTCATAGTAAATTTGGTGACAATTTCTGTAACTCTACGTGTTCAATTTATAACATTTTGATACAGATTTTTGCGAAAATTACATTAAAAACTTTTGTAATGATTATTTTTATTTTTAATTCAATAAGTTTAAATTATTATTCAATTAAGTTCTAAATAATGGATGCTTATTACATAGTTTGAAAGTTCAAAAAACAATTTTCAATGTTACTTAAATCAAATGATAATCAAAATTTTATTTGACTTGTTATCTATTTAGGTAATAAAATTGGGGTAATTCCCATCCAAGCCATGGATATAACCTTTATATTCTGTAAGAAAAAATGAAAAATTAATGTTTCATACAAAAATGTTTTCCAAGAATCTCATAGACCATTAATGAAATATAATATTGTATTACTATTAATAATTCCATTAAAATTTTGGTTTTGATCACTATTCAGCTTAAAAAATTAATCCTTGAAAATTCTTTCTAAATCAATTACTGTTTTATTGTCCTCAATAAATTCAGATGTTATTGTTACATTGGGTTCTGGTAATCCATAATCTGTACATCATTTTTCTTGAAATTAGAAACTTTTATTTTAATGTAATAAAGCATTATTTAGCTTATTGTCTTCTCAATCTTTGATAAAAATTTTTTGGAATAATTCTCAATTAGGCTTACGACAAATGTCTTCAGATATTATAAACCATGCGAAAGATGTTCTCAGTTAATATGGCAGTATAACGTTACAAGCTTCCTCAAATATTTTTATATTATAGTGCTCTACATCCGGCTCCTTTTAATAAGGGCACTACTATGGGCACTTAGTACTTGGGAAAGGGACAAGGAAAGGGGTGGGAGGCCTTCTATGAAAGGAGGGGGTAGGGGAAAATTAGGCAATTTTCGCTGCGAGAAGGTCGCCTAAACCCTCCTCGAGGAGCATTGCGTGGTGAAAAAGCACATGTGAAAAATCACAGAGGTACTTGCGTGAAAAGTCGCACTGGCCGGGAATCGAACCATGGTCTCCCGCGTGCCAATCCACGACCTAGCTGACTGAGCCACCGCGCGCTCGTTAAATTAAATCATAGGGGGTAACCAGAGGGGTGACTAGAGGGGGATCGGTGAGGGCCCTTAAAATCATGAGGGAGGCTGAGTAGTGGTAACGGGGGGTAAGGGGGGTCTGGAAAAAAGTAAAATTTTTTTTTGGATTAAAATGAGGAAGGAACATTAATATTCTAACCTTATTTTGAGGGGTGGCTCGAATTATATTCTAAAATTTTGATGATTGGCGAGGGGGAGAGAGTGGGCATGGGTGGGTTGGAGACTAAATTTGGTCTTACAGCTATATTATATAAGATGTATACAAATATGGACATGAATATATATTATATATATATATGTCTTTATTACGTGTAAAAAATGTTTGTACTTTTTTTTCAAAATTTGTCAAGTGGGTGTTGATGTAAAAAATTAGACATTTAAACACTTACTTTACAATTTTGCGACATTTTTAATCACCTTCTTCTTAATTCTAAAGTAATTATACAACTATATATTTATATAGTTAAAGAGTAATATTTTTATGTACATAACTGTAAGAGGGCGAAGGAGGCTGTATAAAATCATAACGATGGTGAGAGGCGTTTAGAGACGAGAAAAAAATCGAAAAAACGTTAAGAACAATTAGAATGTGCAAAAAATATCTATTATTCTTATTAAGTTACATAAAAAGTGGTAAATAAAGGATCAAATGGAGGCTATATACACACACACACTCAGACACACATTTACATGAATATGGCCCCCATTTGATCCCTTATTTATCACCTCTTATGTAACTTAATAAGAATAATAGATATTTTTTGCAGTTTAATTGTTTTTAACTTTTTTTCGAGCTTTTCCTCGTCCGTAATTTTATACAGCCTCTTTTGCCCCCTGACAGTTATGTTCATGAAAATATAACTCTATAACTGTACAAATATATAATTGTATAATTAGTTTTGAATTGAGAAGAAAGAGATTAAACACATCATAAAATTGTAAAGTAAGTGTTGAAATATTTAATTCTGTATATCAATACGCATTTTACAAATTTTGAAGAGAAAATACAAACATTTTTTACAAGTGATAGAAGTTATAGAGTTACTAATCTACCAGTATACCTTGAAGGCATGGAAATTTTTACTTATGAAGGAACGAAATTGGATAAATCCATAAATATCCAGAAAAGTTTTTTAACAGTTTTGTTCGAATTGAATTAAGTCGACTGTTTAGCAAAACAAGAACATAACTTTTTTAACAATAGAATGAAGAAATGGAAAGACTGACGGGTAAAAAAAATTGTAACAGTACGTAAATTGGATGTTAGTCTTCTAATGGTCTAGAAGTATTTTTTCTTTAATATCAAATTAGAAAAAGGTGCTTAAAGTTTAAGAGACTAAAAAATATGTGAAAAATTTAGAAAAAATGTTAGTATTAGTTCATTAGAACACGATTCTCAAAATGATGAGATTTTTGAGGAAGATCAAATTAATAAGATTTTTAAAGTTACGATCTTAAGACCATTTTATTCACGGAAATTTGAGGCGTGGTTTTCACTTTCAGAAGATATCCTAGGTGATTTATTTCTAAATAAATAAAAATATTACGTTTTAGATTACTTTTGAAATAAGAAAAAAAATAATGCACTAATTTAGTTAAGCAAGATTTTTGAGTCAGAGAGTAAGACGTGTGAAAGTTTTACTTTACCTATACTTGTTAATAGTCGGAAAGAAAGAAAAGAAACAAGCGACACAATGCACATCATTTAAATTTTCAATTCATTGCATTCCCTAATTAACGATAAACAAAAATAGACCTCTTATTAAATATGTAATAACGGACAAAATTTTATTTTTATTGATGGTCTAGGTTGTACATGTAAGACTTGTTTGTAGAAAATTTTAATTTATCATTGTATTATTAACCGAAAAAAATTTTTGCCTGTGGCATTCATAGGTATTACCTCAATATTGTTTTTAAAGGAAATAAGCAGTCGAATAATTTCTGAATTACTATTCGAATAAGACATTGTTGAAAGTGCATTCTTGAAACTACAATCTGAAAAAAATGGCTGCTAATTAATTAAATTATTAAATTATTTGAGATGAAGTTTAATGTTCCCTAAAAAGCTTTAAAAATAGTTGCTTATACTTAACAACGTTTTAACGTAAATAAAAAACATCTTTTAAACAAACAAATTTCTTATAGGATCTGATTTTCGATGAATTCTTCCTGTCATTAAAAAAGTATAAGAATAATTTAAAAATTAATAAAATTTTTACTCCTTACACCATTATTTAAGAACATTAATGATGTAATTATCTTTGCTAAAGTGACAGTAAATTTTTAAAATTGTGAAAAATAGGAAATGAAAATGTTAAGTCTTTTGGTACTCCGGAAAAATAGTTAACAGATAATGTATGTTTCAAAATATTTGGTTAAGAGTCAGATTCTAATTTTAATAGTGTTATTTTAACAACACATAATGAATGTACATATTTCTCAAATAAAATAAATTTAAACTTCATT